ACTAAAGTCACCAGAAGAACTACAGCTTATTGAATTTGTTCTGGTGAGTAGAATCATTAATGTCAGGCTTTTTGCTGTAAACACTGTCTTTTCAGAGAAAATGCAGTCTTTACATTACAGCCTAGTGATAACTTCACTGGCCACTCCTTAGATGGCTGTTAGAGATCCTTCCTGGGTCATGGCTGCCTAAAATGCATCCAAACATTCAGTGTCTCCTCCTTCTGCATGCAGACACTGAACTTTCCTCATAGAGATTAATTGATTCAATTCATCTCTGTGAGGAGATGCTGATTGGCCAGGGCTGTGTTTGAATCATGCTGGCTCTGCCCCTGATCTGCCTCTTTGTTAGTCTCAGCCAATCCTATGGGGAGCACTGTGATTGGATTAGGCCATCACTTCTAATGAAAACGGCTTGTTTTTGCAGAGTTGGGTGCAGAGTTACAGCTTCAGGCTTGAATACAGTAAGATTTTGCTATATTTATGGAGGCATGAGGGGCCCAGGGGGGCTAGATGGTGGTGTTAACACTATAGGGTCATGAATTCATGTTTGTGTTCCTGACCCTATAGTGATCCTTTAAGGTAATGCTGACTTTGGTCTCTCTAACACTGTGGCATGTTCCCTTTCTTCTACACTCACTACATACAGCTTTTCTCTGTCCCAGACTATATACCAGGAGCTTCTGCCTGCTAGTAAGAAGGTAAGGAGACAAGTGGACCAGCGAGTGCTAGGGACAGTCCTTAGAAAGCATTGAGCGAGCGCATCAATAGATGCATTTATGCCAAGCTCAGGGTGCTGTCTGCATAGTATGCCCTTAGTTGGCCAGCTGCATGATTGGCAGGCAGTCTGACATGCATTCATACCAGTCTGGCCTTCTAATTCTTTGGGCAGACATATCCTCTTTTTGGGCATGTTCGCCCCTTTTGGCAGGTTACGTGATTTGTGTCAGTGGCACACCCTTTTACCCCGCCCATTGACTTCCTGTTTGACTGGAAGTTATGGATTTACTTAAAAGATGAAAACATAAATTAGAGAGAGATTAGCCTAGGGTATGTGTTTTATTATAGCTGCTGTTTTTTTTCTCTCCAGCACCATCTCCATCAGATACATGACGCTTGGGAGTGTTTTACTGTTTTTGGTCGATATGAGTCTGTAATTAGGCCCGTCATAATTGTCAGCACCAGGCCCACTGGGCTCTTAATCTGGCCCTGACCACCTGTGCAAATTTTGCATCTAGCTGCGCTGCCTTCATTTTTTCAAATTTTCTGTACTTAAATGTGACCCTGCCTTGAGCAACAGGATGCAAGGTTAGAAGCACAGAGTTAACTGGATATTTAAGTTTGATTTTGGGGTACTGCAGTAACCATTCCTCTATCTCTAAGGTGATTCGAGAAAACATCTGAAATATAGCTTAGTTATATCACTCATATTCATTTTCAATCACCTGTGTAGAACTCCCATTCATACGCTGTAAATTGTAAGACCAACTGAACTGTCTCTTACATTCCATGCACTTGTATGCATACATTGCAATAGATATTTAATTTATGGTTGATATATATATATTTTTTAAGCATGTCTGTATACAATATGTTTTCTGGTGGCACTAGCAAAATATGAACCGACTTCTCATGCTGAGTAACTTGGTTGAGGTTATGATGTCAGCATGCATACCAAGAAAAACCGGTAAGGCGGCCAACTAGAGCTCTCCATGTGTAAATCATTACTGAAGTGGAGACGTCTAATGCAGCCCTGATAACTTTTAAATACATATTTACTCTGAATGTTTTGAGGACAATGGAATGGGCCAAATTAGAACTGTGCGACTGGATTCAGGATAGTTGGCAGGTGTGTCAATGTCCAATATAACCGGTATCTTCTAAAAAAAAGGTCAGCTATTTAAAAGGTAATTTCAGTTGTGAAGTCCACTATTGCAACCAATTCATATTTGTTTCAGATATGGTTAAGTAAGAACTCAAAAATAGTTTTTTTGCTAATATACTTAGCACCAGCTTGCAACCAACTCTTAAAACTGAGCCAGTCACTTGTTCTAGTGAGGTATTTTAGATACATCTGTTTCTACATTACCAACTGCGCTTCAGACTGTGTTTTTTGTCTTCTTTTGGATCAACAGCAAAAACATATGCGAGAAAGGCTGAACTTGATGGACGCAAGTCTCTTTTCAGCTATGTAACTATGTAACTGCACAGCAATGTTTTCTCATTGTGAAAAGGTACCTTACATGTCCACATGCTCCCTCTAGAGGCCTCCTCACAAAATGCACTGTGAAGGAGATGATTTGTGTAGGTGTCTGTGTATGGATCCATACAATCCTGAACCAGTTTGGGGAAAGTAAGTATTGCAGCAATGCAATTAGCCCCTGGGATGCCCTGGCTGCAAGCACAATGAAAATAAATAAAATACTACAAATAGCAGCAGACAAGAACCATGAGGCCCCAGGGCAGCAACTTATCATCCCCTCTATGTCTCTTTAAAACTTTCTGCAGAACCTGCCCTAAGTGTACGTTTCCAACTCATTTTGGTTGAATTTAACAAATTGTATATTTTGAGTATTTGTAATTGGGGGTTTTCTATCCATTTAGATGTTGATATTAATAGTAACATTGACTACTGTTATTTTGAGTGAGCTGTAAGTACATTTTCTGACTTTGAATGGAATACATTTTGTAAGAGCTGCAATAGTAATACATTTTACCATTGCTCTGAACATGTTTAACTTAAAACATAAGACCATGACATTACTTTCCATTACCCTGTAAGCTTTGTATAAATATTATAAGTTGTTTATGGATTGAGGATTTAATTTGACCTATTTAGGATTTCACACTTAACTTTGCCCATTGTCTCATTTAAAAGGATTTGGAAAGCAATCATTTATCATGTTAAGGAAGCAAATTGACAAACAGTCAAAGGTCCCATTTACAGTACAGTCATATTTCGGGGTTATTCACTAGACTGTGAATTGTGGGGATTCACCAAGGAGTTGCACGTTTCGCCCTAAATATTTGATGTGGATTAAGTCTCTAAATTAGCACAAATAAAGATTTGAAGTTCATTGATTGAAATTGTGAACTTTCCCAGAAGTAACAGTTTAGTTCTCTGAGGACCACATAAGGGTATTGGGAAGGTTTAGATATTTGGCCCTGAACCCACAGCCCGGAAGAATTAGCTCATGCTTTTTCCATTAATCATTTACCTTATGGAGGTGAGAGTATGGAGTGTTTAAACCAGGTTGTTTGTAGAGAATTCTTTTGATCAACACATCTAGCCCCCATACCATAGTCCAAAGAAATGGGAAAACAAGAAGATGAGAGCAAACGCTTATTCATCCTCACAAACTTCTACAGCAGGACTGCCTAAAAAGTATTCTTAAGACATGCACATCATCATGGAAGCTGTAGTTTTACAACATCTGAAGATCTACCTTTTGGGCACCCCTACTTTACAGGGTTATTCACTAAAGTGAAAATTACAGGTACATTCAAAGTGAATATTAAATGTAAGGTCAAAATAGCCAAACTGGAAAAAATCTCAGATATGTTTTATGTTCAACTAGTTTGGCCTTAATTTGATTTGAAATTAGTTTTGAATTCTTATTCATTTCTACTCACCCAGCCTACCTCGGCAAAACCATTTATTTTAATAATTAGAAGACTTGTAATCACACCTTTATGCATGCTTCCAAGCCCTCTGGGTATGAGAGCAGGGACTGCTACTTTATAGCTCTCGTACCATAACATACAGTGACATCACACGTGCATACACAGTGCTGTCACAGTGTGCCATATAAAATCATTGTGTTCAATGATTCTCAACGTCGGAATCTTAGGCACAGGCACCTATGGTGGACAGTGCTCCTCAATGAATTGTACTCTCATCCCGAAGGCACGGCTTTACGATGATCTCACTTGAGAAGAGGCCGCAGCATTGCTGAGGGAGACTCGGTGCTGGATAAATGCTGAGTCATTTGTTTTATTTCATTTTTTTTTTTTTATATTACATCTGGGGGGATCCCGACCTAACTACAGACGCTAAGGCTCACTGGATACAAGAACCAACTCTTCATGTAAGCAAAAAGTGCTCTATTGTAGTATGTAGCATTCATATTCTGTACGAGGATAATTAATTAACTAATCAAGGTGTTTTCTTTTGGGAATTATCCTTAAATATTTGCCTTCCCAGAGTATATGAAGGTTATATACTTCAGGTTAACACTTTTTATGCACAGCCCAGCAGAAGGATCTGATACATTTCTAGGATCCTACAACTCAGTGGTAGGTGTTAGAATTTGTGCTGAACTTTGCTGTTAGAACTTAGAAGTTAGGGTTAGGGTCAAGCATTTTAGGGTTATTTTTTGGGTCATTTTCATTTATGCTGGTAGGATGTATTGAAAAGAACTGTGAGAACGTAAAGTATGAATGACCTTCTAGAATAGCTTAGTTTTAGGAATGTAACTTTACTGCCTAAGGGACATATCAAGTCACTGAAAATTACCACCAACTATGATTGGCTGGGTACACCTGATGTCACTGTAAGTGTTAGACAATGAGTAAAAATACAATCCATGCACTTGTAATAAAACCTGGATTGCAGTCTGATGAATGAAAGAGCTCCTCTGATCTTTCTATGGCTTGGCAGATTTTCTTTACCATACTTATGCTTGGTAGGTGTCTCTTTGTCTTATATCCAATTATATTTTGTTTAGTGTTCATAAATGCCAAAATAAAAAGTGTAATATAAACACAGGTTTATTTACTAAACTGGCTGTTGTGGTGAATCTACTAATATATTGGCATTAGAAGCTGTCCAGGACTATTGCTGGTATAAAATACAACATTATGATATTATTTAAATATAATGATACATTGCTAAATATATAAGCATAGGTTGTATAAAGTTAATAAATATGCAATAAATGTGATATTTGAAAGTCCAACATCGGCCACATCTTGATATTATTTTTATTGTGTTTGAAAACTCAGCATTAAGTATTGCATTAAGCGAGGCGTCTTCAGTCCTTATGCCTCAATCAACAGCCTCCCCAAGACGGAATTTTACAATAATAAAGACAGGAGGTATGTTTCAACATTTGTTTATATGTGTCTGTGTGTTTATGTGTTATTACCATGTATATAACATTTTCAGGCGACAAATAAGAGAGGAAGAGCAAGTCGTAATAGCAACATAATGTGAAGAGGGTCCTGCCTAAAATAGTTAGAGATTTCATTAACCCCTTAAGGACACAACTTCTGGAATAAAAGGGAATCATGACGGAATGTGTCCTTAAGGGGTTAAATAGGCTAGTCTTCTTCTTCTTGTAAAGAGCAGGTAAGTTTTTTTTTTTTTATTGTGTTTGGAAAACTATATGGTATACTACTAATAAAGATTGCATTTTTATACTCTCTTCCTAAATTAATAGATGTAAGTTATCAAAATAAATGTAAAAATGTAATATTGTGCCTTTTTTAACAAAAACAGTTAAAATGCTGGAATTAAGGTGTATGATAATTTTACAGTATCTAGTTTTAGATGACTGATACTGACACCTACTGGTAGCCAGTTTTCAAGAATGTTTCCCTGGGTAATAATGTTCTAAGTTTACAGAACAATACCTGATTCTACCATATATATTTAAGAGTAGCTCTAGTAGCCCTAGAAGTAAAATGTATTTTGATTCAAATGATACGTTTCTTCATTAAATTATAAAAAAAAAGATAAATGATAATGTAAAATAAACATGAAAGCATACGTTAGCAGAAGTGAATGTTATTCTGATAGATGAGTTGAAATGAACTGTAAATCTCAAATTACATGGCTGATGAGCTAAGCTGAAGATCACGAGAGTCATGGTTCACAGGCTACATAACTGACTGAGCGTGATAAAGGTCAGAGTCCATTTGGGCAATAAGACAGTAAGATATGCATGTCTAATTCTTGATGTTCAGCCAATTCATGTGCATCAGCCTTAGTCAGTATCATGAGTATGAAGTCATATATTTGTATCTAGCCTGGGCTAATTTGTGCCCAACAGTTCATCCTTGTTCATACCTGCCCACAACAATATCCAATATGCCAATATTTTTTAAATACATTTCCACTTGTAGTTTGTATACAAAAGACATAAGACACATTCACATGGATGGGCAAAGTTCAACACTTTCTCAGATTTTACAACTTTTTTTTTAAACCCCTTAAGGACACATGACGTGTGACATGTCATGATTCCCTTTCATTCCAGAAGTTTGGTCCTTAAGGTGTTAAATGAACGTTCCTGCTAAAACACAACCTCACTCTTTTATAGTGATGTCCCGAACGGTTCGCTGGCGAATAGTTCCTGGCGAACATAGCGTCCTCGCGTTCGCCACGCATGGCGAACATATGCGATGTTTGGTCCGCCCCCTATTAATTTACTAATACTAAGTAAAAATTACTTAGTATTAGTAAATTGTGCCCCTACTCGCAATACCGCAAGTAGGGGCATGTTTATTAAACAGTGAGCAGCCTGTGGCTGCTCACTGTTTAAAAAAAAAGGGTCCCCCCCCCGGTGGGGGCCCTAAATACTAATAGGGGGGGACCTACTGTCCTCCCCCCGGCCCCCACCCCTGAGCGGTGGGTGGGGGCCCTAAAAATAACAATAAGGGGGGGACCTATTGACCCCCCCCGGCCCCCACCACTGAGCGGTGGGTGGGGGCCCTAAAATGAACAATAAGGGGGGACCTATTGTCCCCCCCGGGCCCCACCCCTGAGCGGTGGGTGGGGGCCAAGGGGGGACAATAGGTCCCCCCTTATTGTTCATTTTAGGGCCCCCACCCACCGCTCAGGGGTGGGGGCCAGGGGGGACAGTAGGTCCCCCCCTTATTGTTATTTTTAGGGCCCCCACCCACCGCTCAGGGGTGGGGGCTGGGGGGGAAGAGAGTAGGTCTCCTCCCCCCCCCTTCAACCAGTAAGAGTCCCTGTGGGTTTTAAAATTCACCTGCCTATTGAAGTCTATGGCGGTTCACCGGGTTCGCCCGGTTCGCGAACATTTGCGGAAGTTCGCGTTCGCGGTTCACGAACCGAAAATTTCATGTTTGCGACATCACTACTCTTTTATTCTGTTATTTGCAACACTTTTTTGCATATATAAATTTCCCTTCTAAGTATTGAAAGTAGCACTAAACTTACAATAATGATCAATAATACAAAGGATTGCATTGTGTGTGTTTTATAAATACGTCAGAAAATACACTGATATACAAATAGCATGACAGAAACAGGACCGATGACGCCCCACAAAATGTGCCTTCGTCTGTGTAGGCTTATATGTCATTTAACCCCCATTTCGCCCCTCATACCAATCCTATTTTTTCCCCATTTTATCATTCTTATTCCAGCTTTTGTGTCTTTATCACCCTTTTGCTGTCTCTTACCCCCTCATTTGTCTTTAATCCCCCCTGTTTTGTTTCTTATTCCCCTTTAAATGTTATTCTCCCCCCTTGTATCTCTCACTCTCCTGTTTGTGTCCCCTTACACAACATTTTGTGTCTTGTATACCTCCTGTGTTTCTTGCTCCCTTGTGTCTTTTACCCCCTTTTGTGTATTTACACCTCATTGTGTCTCTTACACCTACTTGTGTTTTACTGCTCCTTTGTGTCTTTTACCGACTGTGAAGAAACTACCCCTGTTATTTCTGTACTTTTGTTTTTCCCTGTTTGGTAGATAAAACTACCGAACACCGACCACCCCCTTGCTCATTAACTTCAAAGCAAACTGCCAATTTAGTGCTCTCTCTGTGTGGCCTCCATTGGTATAGTTGAATGTCACGTGCAAGAGAAAACAGTGGCCATCTTGTTCGCACGAAAGGAGGCAGCGGTACTTGGTTGTTGAGTGTCTGGAACCAAAATCGTACACTCGACTTGCGGTCAAACTACACAAACTCCTGCTTCCTTTCACAGACCAGCCAGGAGAGCGCTGTTTGGTAGATTTGTTCCCATGAACTGAGGGAACAAAGGCTGCCTATGAGCCAGGGGTACCGTTCGTGGATTTAATCTTTTTTTTTGTACTTTTTGAAATAGACCGACCGCACAGCCCAATTTCATGGAACTATTTCTGGGCAGGAGCATCGTGTGCGGTGTGTCAAATTAAGACCTCCATGTAACTCTTGAATCCCTGAACCGATCTGGGTGATTTTTAAATATGTTGGTCCCCCAGATCCGGGCTATCAGGGGATGTGACTTTTATGGGGTTCACATGGAGTTTGGGGTACTTTCTAAGTTTTATGGAAATGTATGTTTTTTGTATTGGGAGATAATTGAGTTTAGTATAGTGCTTGACTCAATTATCTCCCCAGTACAGGGGAAAGATTACATTATTGTATGTAGGAGTATCCTGGACCTGAGAGCCAATGTACTTGCAGAATATATTTTGTCACTGTCCCCTCTCAGGTCCAGTGGGGAATGCCCCTGGAATATGTCAACTGAAACCCTGTGCATTGTTCACTGCATTTAAACCAGGCGGTTAGCCTGAATAAAACATTCATGTTATACCCTTCATCTAGTTTAGGCTGATGTTTGGGTACCTGTCTACTTTGCCTGGAGAATATACATTGCTCAAAAAAATAAAGGGTACACAAAAATAACATCCTAGTTCTGAATTAATTAAATATTCTTCTGACATACTTTGTTCTTTACATAGTTGAATGTGCTGACAACAAAATCACACAAAAATAAAAAAATGGAAATCAAATTTTTCAATCCATGGAGGTCTGGATTTGAAGTCACACTCAATATTAAAGAGGTAAAACACACTACAGGCTGATCTAACTTTGATGTAATGTCCTTAAAACAAGTGAAAATGAGGCTCAGTAGTGTGTGTGGCCTCCACGTGCCTGTATGACCTCCCTACAATGCCTGTGCATGTTCCTGATGAGGTGGCAGATGGTCTCCTGAGGGATCTCCTTCCAGACCTGGACTAAAGCATCTGCCAACTCCTGGACAGTCTGTGGTGCAACGTGACATTGGTGGACGGAGCGAGACATGATGTCCTAGATGTGCTCAGTTGGATTCAGGTCTGGGGAACGGGCGGGCCAGTCTATAGCATCAATGCCTTCGTCTTGCAGGAACTGCTGACACACTCCAGCCACATGAGGTCTAGCATTGTCTTGCATTAGGAGGAATCCAGGGCCAACCGCACCAGCATATGGTCTCACAAGGGGTCTGAGGATCTCATCTCGGTACCTAATGGCAGTCAGGCTACCTCTGGCGAGCACATGGAGGGCTGTGCTGCCCCCCAAAGAAATGGAACCCCACTGCCAATGGAATGTGTCTATAGAAAGTATAAAATATGTTATTACACTCACCCCAGACTGACTCTTGTCCACCAGCAAAAGCAACTTCAATGGGGATGTGAGAGTCAGAACTGGACCATGGAGCCATGTAAGAATGTTGCCTCGTCTGATAAATCATGTTTACTTTTCGATCAGGTGAATACCAGGATGCGCATGATTCATTTACCTGTGGAAGAGATGGCAGCAGGATGTACTGTGGGAAAATGGCAAGCCAGCAGAGGCACTGTTATGCTGTAGGAAATGTTCTGCTGGGAAACCTTGAAGGTTACTTTGGCACGTACCACCTATCTCAAGACTGTTGACCAAGAACACCAATTCAATACAATGGTGTATCCTGATGGAAGTGGAGTTTTTCAGCAGGATAATGGAACTTGTCACACTGCAAGAATTGCTCAAGAATAGTTTGAGGAACATGACAAAGAGTTCAAGGTTGAAGAGACGAAAGGTGTGTGGAGCAAAAATAAAATCCAATCTAGGTTACCTGTGCTACTGGAAAAGTTCTAGTCCCACAGTACTATAAAGTGATTATGAAAAGAAGAAGAAACAACAGTATTTGGCGAATATGGTGTAATGGTCATTTTATTCAGTCATCGCAAAGAGGCAATGTTCCAACAAACTAAGTGTCTTTCTCAAGTCATAAATTAAGTGTATCTTACCAAAATAATATATAGGTGAACACAAGACAATCAATCAATCACAGTGCTGTGTGACAGATTGCATACAATAAAACAATCAAGAAATCTTTCAAATGAATTCAATTTGTGTGGCATCTCATATCTTAAAGTATTATAAAATATCTACAATTCTTGTAGATAAGACATCTTAATAACTAGACACAAAAACACAAGTACAATAAAACATGAATTACAAAAATATAACAATATTTTATAAAAGTTTTGCCTTGGCCTCAAAATCCCCAAGATCTCAATTTGATTAAGTATCTGTGGGATGTGCTGGAACAAAAAATCCAATCCATGGAGGCTCCACCTTCACAACTTGCAGGACTTAAAGGATCTGCTGCTAATGTCTTGTTGCCAGATACCACAGGACACGTCCAGAGGTCATGTGGAGTCCATGACTCGACGCATCAGAGCTATATTGGCAGCATGGGGGGGACACCTACATGATATTATCCAGGTGTTTTTAAAGTTGTGCCTGATATATATATATATATATATATATATATGCCTGTGTTTTAGTAGCAAAGTAATTATGTTATATTCGTTTAATGCCATGGTTCCAGGTTCTGACTCATATACTTGAATATATGAATACTATTATACCAGTAATAGTAAAAGCTGGGATTGAATCAAAATGGCACCCTGGAAAACTGTGTAAAGAGTATTTACAATATGGATCATTTGTGTATGGAGTATTTACAATGTGGGTCATTTGTGTAAGGAATATTTACAATGTGGGTCATTTGAATCAAATTCTTTCCAGTCCTGGAATTCATTTGCAGACTACTAATGGTATGTGTGGATCAGGGCTAGTACAGATGCCTCTCATTCCTGTATGTCACCTGTAGAAAGACATAATACCTTTTTTTCAGCACATTCTAGCATACAAGTATACATTAAGCAGAGGAAACTCAAATATTGGCCCTATATGAGTGCCAAAAATACACAATAGTGGACAGATAAGGGGGTAACCCTAGGGTAATGGATGAAAACAAAAAGGAGAATAATCTGTCCCAAAATAATGTAAAAAAAAATCAACGAAATACGTTATTAATAAAACAATCACAAACACATACTGAGTCACTGATCACTGCTGTCTCAATGATGGATAACTGAGGCAGCAAATGTGACCAAGTGATATACCCTAAATGAGGAGTATATACAAATGAGGAAGGGAGTAAAATAAATACAAACAGGAACGGGCAAAAAACCCAAGAGAGGGGGGTTATAGTAGATAAACCCCCCAGAAAAAACAAAACAAAAATAATAATAAATCGCTGCACAGTGCACGCAATAGAGTAACAGTGAGTGCTACTTGACACTGTCGTAATATAATATATACAGAATAGCAAAAAAAAGGATTGCAAATAGATGGACTGAGTAGCTACAGAAAATATATATAGCAACACTGAAGTAGACTTGAAATAAACAGCGTGCAGAGATGAACAGATTAACAGAATAGTGTAGCTAATAAATGTAGCTAGTGGGTTGATGCCCCACTGAAAACCAGAGAGAATCCCCAATTAACAGTATACCAGTACACCCATAATAATGGATGGTAAAGTATAATAGCGGAAAAGATCCTGATCTGTGCCTTCCAGGGCACCTGTCTAAATCAAAATACAAAAGACTGGCTAACTATACAGAAAAATGGGTAAATGAAAAAATAGCCCTAAAGGTAAAATAATATGCAAAGAAAAGCGTAGTAATAACCCTAATCTGTACCTTCATAGGCACCTATCTGTGCAGATAAAAGAGCTAAACTAAACTCATAAACTGGTCCAAGTAAAAGGGGTCCTAGGTGTAACGATCTTAAGCAAAATGATAGAAGTGCGAGATAACACAAAAATGTCTAACACCGGACCGGACCTAATGTCAAAAGCCCCGACACGCGTTTTGACGAACACAGGCTCATCAGGAGGAACTGACTCCGCAGACGGGTGAGTTTAAATAGCCCGCCCGACGTCCTCATTGGATCAACCGCAGTGATGATGTAATGGACTAACGTACCGAGCTACGGTGGCTCGACACACTCAGATAAATGAGAAAAACGTTGTGATAAAGGTCCACACAAGTAATACATTATCTAAGTCTAAGCATTGTATTTCTACATAGTAGTTGTAGATTGATAATTAGAATCAAAATGTATTTTGATAATATTAAAAGTAGTGAACAATGCATACCAAAGTTATATGGATACATTTTAAGATATTACATCAAAAGAATCTGAGTATCCAATATTAACGTTAATATAATAACCTGATCAGTCCATTTAGGACCAAAGTTGTCGTGACAATGACGGTCCAGGTTGCTCCAAATATGATAAGTGTGTGTAATGAATAATTAATATTAAAGGAATATTATAGCAGTTAGGAGATCCCTTGTGGATAAAAATAAAAATGATAAAGTAGTGAAAGTGAGTTAAGAGAGAAGTTACGATAACTTAAATAAAAACAGAATATAATAAAGAAAGATGCCAATAAAATCTACTGTAATAGCCTAAAGTGCTTATAATTAATGGATGAATGCTGTATAGTTAAACTCTTCGTTGAGTCCCAATGGGGCCAGAGTCTTAAAGAGATAGATCCATTTGGATTCTTTTTGCAGCAAAATTCTGTTGAAATTACCTTTTCTTAGATTAGGAAATAATCTTTCTATTGCCTGAAACCTTAAGTTTTCAACTTTGCCTCTGTGAAAATTGTTAATATGTCTAGCCACAGGTGTAGGAGTGATGACATTATTGATAGAATTAACATGTTGTAGGATTCTCCTGCGGAACTGCTGAAATGTTTTGCCAATATATTGCGTACCGCAACTACACGTTATTAGGTAAATAACAATTGTAGTGCTGCAATTTACCAAAGCGTTGGTGGCTACACTGATTTTAGATTGTGTGGATTGAACAGTCTTAGAAGGAGTAATGTACTGACATGCTTTACAGTGACCGCATCTATAGGTTCCTTTAATGTTTGTAAGCCAATTGGTAGGTGGAGAAGGTAATGTTAAATGGCTATGTACAAGGAGGTCCTGTAGATTAGTGGGTCTACGTGCTGTAAGAGGTGGATGGTTAGGTAAAATATTTTTAAGAAATGGGTTGTGAAGTAAAATGGGCCAATTGTTATGAAGTATGTGCGACATCGTGTTCCAGCCTTGTTCAAAAGTGGAAATGCACCTTGGGAACTTTGAATCCAATTTTGGTCTGGTTGTAGTAAGACTTAGGTGTCTATCTATGCCATCTTTTCAACATGTTAATTCTATCAATAATGTCATCACTCCTACACCTGTGGCTAGACATCTTAACAATTTTCACAGAGGCAAAGTTGAAAACTTAAGGTTTCAGGCAATAGAAAGATTATTTCCTAATCCAAGAAAAGGTAATTTCAACAGAATTTTGCTGCAAAAAGAATCCAAATGGATCTATCTCTTTAAGACTCTGGCCCCATTGGGACTCAACGAAGAGTTTAACTATACAGCATTCATCCATTAATTATAAGCACTTTAGGCTATTACAGTAGATTTTATTGGCATCTTTCTTTATTATATTCTGTTTTTATTTAAGTTATCGTAACTTCTCTCTTAACTCACTTTCACTACTTTATCATTTTTATTTTTATCCACAAGGGATCTCCTAACTGCTATAATATTCCTTTAATATTAATTATTCATTACACACACTTATCATATTTGGAGCAACATGGACCGTCATTGTCACGACAACTTTGGTCCTAAATGGACTGATCAGGTTATTATATTAACGTTAATATTGGATACTCAGATTCTTTTGATGTAATATCTTAAAATGTATCCATATAACTTTGGTATGCATTGTTCACTACTTTTAATATTATCAAAATACATTTTGATTCTAATTATCAATCTACAACTACTATGTAGAAATACAATGCTTAGACTTAGATAATGTATTACTTGTGTGGACCTTTATCACAACGTTTTTCTCATTTATCTGAGTGTGTCGAGCCACCGTAGCTCGGTATGTTAGTCCATTACATCATCACTGCGGTTGATCCAATGAGGACGTCGGGCGGGCTATTTAAACTCACCAGGTCTGCGGAGTCAGTTCCCCCTGATGAGCCTGTGTTCGTCGAAACGCGCGTCGGGGCTCCTGACATTAGGTCCGGTCCGGTGTTAGACATTTTTGTGTTATCTCGCACTTCTATCATTTTGCTTAAGATCGTTACACCTAGGACCCCTTTTACTGGGACCAGTTTATGAGTTTAGTTTAGCTCTTTTATCTGCACAGATAGGTGCCCATAAAGGCACAGATTAGGGTTATTACTACGCTTTTCTTTGCATATTATTTTACCTTTAGGGCTATTTTTTCATTTACCCATTTTTCTGTATAGTTAGCCAGTCTTTTGTATTTTGATTTAGACAGGTGCCCTTGAAGGCACAGATCAGGCCCTTTCCTGTTTGTATTTATTTTACTCCCTTCCTCGTTTGTATATACTCCTCATTTAGGGTATATCACTTGGTCACATTTGCTGCCTCAGTAATGCATCATTGAGACAGCAGTGATCAGTGACTCAGTATGTGTTTGTGATCGTTTTTAGTTTTATTAATAAAGTATTTAGTTGATTCTTTTTTTTAATATTATTTTGGGACAGATTATTCTCCTTTTTGTTTTCATACATAGAGCAGAGGGATTAAGAGAGCCTCAGGTGTGTTGCCTTTAGATTGTAATAAGTGGATCTAACTTTTAGCTCGTCTTGTACTTAAACCTGTGGGCTGGATCTGAAGTAAAGGCTGCAAATCAGGTGTATAGAAAGAGGCATATTCTCTAAACAACAAATTATGCTCATGCATCTCCAATTCAGTTTTCCATTAATCCACCACACTTCATTTTGCTTGTATAGCTTAGTCAGATTTCTCTGCATTGATCAGTGTATGGTATGAGTTAAGAAATGGGATCAGTTTTTAATTCTGCTGTGATCACGTCTAACTTGCCATTTTGTGATTACAGCTCTAAAAGCATTTGTGGAAGATGCAGAAACATTTGTATATTTGAAACTGTAAAATAAATTTTAAGTAGTTCTGATGAGTTCACATTGTTATTAAAAATAACATGTATTACTACATTGTTGACAATTTTCTTTTTAATAGATGAAGATTTGGAACCAAAACAACAAAATAATCCTTGTCTTGACGAATTTCAACACTTTTGTATTAATGGTCACTGTACTTTTCACAAAGAGCTCAGAATTCCTCTGTGCAGGTACATTTATATAAAATGACATGTCATTTGATGGCTTTATTACATGTTTGTCAAATTCAGCTATGCAAAGACAGGGCCACAAAATACTTCTTAACTAGCTAGCATTGGGTCAGTAGGTAATACTAGTTTCAATTAATTTGAGGTATGGATTAGGATTTGGGGTTATTTAAGGGTGCAAGTGTGCAGTAATCTCCAGCAACATTTGTGATCTTGGAAGCAGATTCCTACCCATCCACCCTGTTTGCCCTATCACACTTTGTTACAGAGGGAGATTGTTTTGGGGGAGTTTTCCATTATTAGGGGTCAGTAGTCAGGTAAGAAGTTAGCATATTCTAGAATTAGTAGAAGGGTGGGTCTGATGATCCCCACCTTTAGGGTGCTAGTGCTGAAAGATGAGAATAATGCTGCCCTTATTATTGTAATTAATGTATGGTTTATGTATTTAATAGTTAATCATATTTATCTATAATTATGTTTATAGTCCTGTATTTCTCCACTGCACTTTTTTTTGTTGGTTGTTTATAATTGTAATAATGGTGATGTGGCCAGTTTTTAGTCAAACAATCTCATGTGTTAGAATTTTTGTATGAGGTTAGTTTGGATTTCATTTTGGTTTTAGCCAGCTTGGATTCATGAATAAGTAATTCATGTTGTTAGAGTAAATCTCCCATAATTCTCCACAAACCAGAGAAAGGACATACCAGAAACATATGCAAGTGTGAAGTACTAGTTGGCAGTGGTGTGTGATAGTACCAACTCACAAATAAACATTTATAGCATGTTAAACACAGCCGTTTTTTCTTTAAATATATCTTCTATATCATACCTCCCAACATTTCAAATGGACAAAGAGATGCACTTAAATTTAGGGGTGTGAGTGTGGGTGTGGCCTGGAGTGGTGCTATTCTAAGAAATTGTAGGTAACTTACTAATAACAATTTATGCAAATAAAACATAATTTAGAACAAAAATAATGTATCTTATTTACACAGACTGGCTTCTAAACACGTTTATCATACTTTAAACATGCATTACTGTGAGCATTATTGCAGTGGAGCTCCTAGAAAAGAGGACCATTAGTATAGAAAAGAGGGACTTGGATCCAAAATAGGGACTATCCCTCCTAAAAAGGGATACTTGGGAGGTATGGTATATACATTTGCGCTATTGAACATTGTGGAATGCATATTTAAAATCAAAGAAATTCCTATTCTACATAATAAACGGCACCTATTCTATTTTTCAGATGTCTATCAAACTACACAGGCGAAAGATGTGAACAATTTTTTTTAGCATCTATCAATCCAGATGACAAAGCCACATATTTAGCTATTGGAATTGGCATGGGTTTATTAATAAGTGGGTTAATAGCCTTTATATGGTGCCATGTGAATAAAAGGTATGTTTATTTTTTTGCAGAAATTCTTAATTAATTAAGAGCTGATCGTATTATGTTGCCTTTTAGCTTATGAGCAAATATTTATATTATTATTATTATTATTACAGTTGTTTTTATTGGTATAAAACAAAATTAATGCCAGATACATTAAGGAAATGTTTTCATACAACTTAATACAGCCAACAAACAAACAAACGGAATTTTAAGGGCTCTGTCCATGATTATTATTATTATTATTATTATTATGATATTTATAGAGCGCCGTCAAATTCCGCAGCGCTTTACAATGGGTGGACGAACAGACATGTAGTTGTAACCAGACAAGTTGGACACACAGGAACAGAGGGGTTGAGGGCCCTGCTCAATGAGCTTACATGCTAGAGGGAGTGGGGTAAAATGACACAAAAAAGGTAAGGATAGTATTAGACTAGTGACAGTTGCAGAAGAGGAATCAGTCAGGAGCTATTAACAGTTTAATTGATACGCTTTTATGAAGAAGTGGGTTTTTAACGATTTTTTGAAGGAGTGGAGACTGGGTGAGCATCTAACGGAGGAGGGAAGCGAGTTCCACAGGAACGGTGCAGCCCTCGAGAAATCTTGAAGGCGAGCATCAGAGGTGGGAGTACGGACAGAAGATAGACGTAAGTCTTCAGCAGATCGTAAGGGCCTAGACGGGACATACTTGTGTATAAGGGAGGATAGATAGGAGGGAGCAGCATTATGTAGAGATTTGAAAGCAAGAACCAGAATTTTAAATTGAGTTCTATATTTTATAGGAAGCCAATGTAGGGACTGACAGAAGGGTGAGGCATGGGAGGTGCGGGCGGACAGGAAGATGAGCCTCGCCGCCGCATTCATTATGGACTGTAATGGCGCTAGTTGGGAGCACGTAAGACCACTGAGAAGCGGATTACAGTAGTCAAGGTGAGAAAGGACAGTGGAATGGACCAACACCTTAGTCGCATCTGGCGTTAAGTAGGGGCGGATGCGCGCAATGTTTTTGAGATGGAAATTACAGGATTTGGTGATAGATTGAACATGAGGCTTGAAGGAGAGGTCGGAGTCAAAGAGAACACCTAGGTAGCGAGCCTGTGTTGTGGAGCTGAGGGTAGAACCGTTGACTTGGAGGGAGACAGACACAGGAGTAACAACACTTGAGGGAGGAAAGACCAGAATTTCAGTTTTGGTCAAGTTTAGTTTAAGGAAGTGGGCAGCCATCTAGTTAGAGACAGCTGAGAGGCAGTCAGTGACACTAGTCAAGAGGGACGGGGAGAGATCAGGAGAGGACAGGTAGATTTGCATGTCATCTGCATAGAAATGATATTGGAAGCCAAAGGAGCTAATGAGTTTACCAAGGGAGGCAGTATAGATGGAGAACAGTAGGGGACCAAGGACTGAACCTTTGGGGACACCAACATAGAGGAGTTGAGGAGAAGAAGCAGAGCCAGAGAAGGAAACACTGAAAGAGCGCTGGGAGAGGTAGGAGGAGCACTAGGAGAGAGCAATATCTTGTAGACCGATATTGCGGCGGATGAGAAGAAGCTGTTGATGATCAACAGTGTCAAATGCCGCAGACAGGTCAAGGAGAATTAGGATAGAGTAGTGACCACGAAACCTCTTCCAATGTAGCGGGTGCGAATGAACATAGAACAGCGGAGGAAGTGAAGTTAGGGGAAGTATTGTAAGGGGACGAAGAAAGATGAGAGATCTCTTCTCTGATTGAGAAGATCTTATAGCACAAAGTGAAATGGGATGGCTATAGACATTTAGAAGAATGCAACCACAGATGTAAAACAAGTTATAGTGCAGATATTAAAGGCCCACTTGTTTTCCTGGCACTATAGGGTTATTAGGTCCCCTCCCCCCCACCCTCATGGCCTCCCTCCCGCTGGGCTGAAGGGGTTAAAACAGTCATACTGAACCTGTTACTCACAACCCAACATGGCTTACACCAACAGCAGGGACTTACCAATGTGGTCGCTGTAAGGCCTGCAAATATATCAAACCATCAAAAATGGTTGTGAGCACAACAACATCTAAGACATACAAAGTGAAAGAATGTATCAACTGCAGCTCTGCAAAAGTCATCTATTTGATAACTTGCAGCTGCAAGATGCAATATATTGGTAAAACATACCAACAATTCAAAAGAAGGATTCTCCAACACATCTGCTCCATTAACAACTTAAAGGTCTCCACCCCCATTGGAAATCATGTGAGACTACATCATATTGGTGATCCCACCCATCTGACCTTTCAAGTTATAGAGAAAGTGTCCTTGAACTCTAGAAAAGGCAATTTCAACAGGATGCTTTTAATGAAGGAATCAAGGTGGATTTACTATTTTAAAACTCTGACCCCCAATGGTCTAAATGAGGAGTTCAACTTTACTCCCTTTATTCATAAATAAGTCATATTCATCATTGTAAGATTCACATCATAACCTAGACACAGGCATCTTCCAGTTCAAAGGGCGGATATTGGGGTAGACATCCCTAACACAGTTTCTTTTTTATACCACGATAATTACCCCTTTCCCTATGTTGGCTATTTATAATTTATCCAGGTTCAGTACCCTATAAACTGTTTACTCTAAGACAGATTCCCTGTTATTCCCACATTATTCAATATCTATATACAAATTACTATATCTGTCCTCTAGGGTTGATAATACACGACCCTATTTCAATGGTACACACATCTCTTTTTCTCCATACGATACTTCCTTCATTACAGCATCATTAATATGTACATCATTTTCCTGTACTAGTCATGCCATATTGCTTCACATGTAAACAATCTCTGCTTGATCATAACAAATTAATATTCTCCTTTATTGTATTAAGATCACATGCTTTCCACCATTTAGTTATTCTATTATCGAGTCACTTTGCTTTTTTGTGACTGTATAACACATTCCTTTTCTACCCCCAGTATATACCATGGAGTCCCCACTGCATCATTTTCGGTCACACCTGCAGGGGAATCTCCCACTCTTTTATTTCTAGCGCTGTGTGTATAAATACATTATTATTACTATACTTTGTCATTAACTGTCCCACATAACTTATATGCAGCACGGAGAGTTTTCCCTGCTGTAATCTCCATATACACATCTCTCGTTACTGTGTTCCACTTTGTCTGGTGACATAGGGGTTAACACTATCCCCCTTCAACACGTCATTAATTTGGGCGGATCGAATCCCATGACGTCAAGACATCTACCAATCAGAAGCATCCTTCCCTTTGGACCAATCACGAGCTATTTGCTCCTTTTTAAACCGAGTGTCTCACACCGACCGGTTCCCTTCTCACGAGCCTGGTCGGGTGAAACGCACGCGTCAAGGGAATTATTATGCAGCCTGCAACATTATTTTGAAATTTCGTATCTACTAAGGGATTTATTATGCAGCATGCTACATTTATCTGATACTTTATTTCTATAAATGCACTCTATCTTCTACTGATTCAGGGGGGTTGGATCTAGGTGCCCTTGAAGGCACGGAGGGGCTATATAATCCATCTACTGATATCAACTATCTTTCTTACTAACTGCTTTTTCCCTCTCTTTACAATTATCATTTCTACGAAGGGTGCTGGCTCCAGGTGCCCCTGTAGTTACAAAGGGGGTCTCCTCACAGTGAGTTTCCAGCATTTTCCTTCAACCTGAGAGTGTTACATATTCAGCAGCATATATTCAGTAACATCCTCTGAACATCCACGTTACCTCTTTATAAGGAACTATTTCAATGTCAAAGATTTTTTCTTATACACCGTCAGGCATATATACAGCAAATTTTGAGGGTAATTAATTTTAGCTACACATCTCTGATGAATGGTTACAAGTCACCACTCACTCATTGAGTCTGCTTACACTTGGCATTAAGGCTCTCTTTTTCCAAAGCAGTTCAGTTTACATCCAAATACAGGATTTCTATCTCTCGCATCTCAGGATATGCTATCCTTCCCCCTTACATATTGTACATTCAATAATTATTCCTGTTCAGCACAGACGTGAGCTGCAACAGAGAATCTATCGAGTGCAACGTTAGAATCTTTTCAAACTTGAGTTATCAAGCCAGCTTCATTGATTTTATTTTTTATTTTTATCTTCTATTTCTTTCTTTCAATTTTACACTTTATTTAGTGTGTGTGTTACACTTGGGTGATTGCCATTTCTTTTGGCGATTTTTAAACCAATTTAATAAATAAAGTATTTTTTGTTTTCTTATTGGGATGCTTAGCCTTCTGCCTGGCACTCTCGCTAGGTCCCCAGTACCTTAATATAGGTATACTACTTTAATTTCTTCTTTTCTTGATTCCACTAGGGGTTACCCCCCTTTTGTTCCTGTAGTATACCTTAGTGAGCTGTACTCCACTTGTTTCCCTTCAGCCACTTAGCTTAATCCAGCACCAGGCTCCCTCTCCTCCTGCCGATGTCAGCACCGAATGTGCATGCGTGGCAAGAGCTATGTTTTCAGCTGCAGGGTTAAAACTAGGGGGACCTGGCATCCAGACCACGTCATTGAGCTGAAGTGGTCTAGGTGCCTATAGTGGTTCTTTAAGTGTCTCTAAGTGTGAGATGAATGAACTGGTTTGTAGATATACATTTTAAAAGAACATTTGAAGATGGAGGGGAAGATGTAGAAGCAAAGGTCAAGCAGTAGTGAGTAAAGTAAGATGGAGTAACTAAATTATTTGTTAGATGGGGGGGATTAATAAGAGGAGTAGAAAGCTTTCTTCATAAGAGTGGAGAACAACTTAAAAAAGAGTAAAGCATAAAGAGAGGGTAGAGTTGTGAAAGGCTTTAAGATTTACATTAACAGGGTTATTTACTAGAGTGAGAATAAAAAGTGAATTAAAAGTGAATTTGAAATTTAAGATTAAAACAGCCAAACTGGAAATATTCTCTAAATCAGCTATGCTCTAAGTTCAGCTACTCTGGCCTTAAAGGGACGCTATAGGCACCCAGACTACTTCATCTCATTAAAGTATTCATGGTGCAGTGCCCTTGTCTGTTTAACACTGCAATGTAAAACATGCAATGTTTACATAGCAGGGTTTACTCCATCTAGTGTTGCCACTAGAAGAGCTTCCGGGTCCTAGCGTAGTTTACTCTGGTATTCGATGTTGGCCTTCCACACACGTTGCATGATGATGAACATCTTTTATGTAACCAAAGAAATGCGTTGATTCTCTGCTTTCCTGTATACACGCTTGAATGAGGGTGTGATGCTCACCACGAAGGCGCATTGGGTCCTTAGTATCACGGGATATCGAGAGTCAGCGCTGAGGGAATCCCCAGGTAGAAAAGAGTCTTTAGCCCTTTAATCATGAAATGGTGGGACGCACACATAAAACTATGGATAGGGACACTATAGCATTAGGAATATAGGGTTGTTCCTTTAAATTTGAAATTCACTTTGAGCTAATTATGAATTCTCACTGTATATGTGAGTAACACAGCCCAGGAGAATGTATTTTGTAAAGGCTGGCTTTGAATCAGTAGGCCAGTTAGAATGGCTGACAAGGAGAATGTTGATGTAGTTAAGAGTCATGTGAGCTTCAAAGTATTTATTTGACTTCTCGTTATTAATTATGTCATAAATGACATTAATGTATCCCCGACATTTTCTCCAATGCGTAATAAGTCTTGTGAATACTCCAAAAGTAGATAACTACCTAGACAGTTGAACCATTTTACAAAGAGTTTTAAGTGCTGTATTTTTCCACAGACTTGTAATGTTAAGTTAATACTGTGTATTGCAGGGGTCAGACATTATGGCACATGGCTACATTCCATTTTTAATACATAACTCTACGCATGCCAGCTAGTGATTAAACTTCTTTCCCTTTTTAAACGTCTTTGAAATGTATTTGGAAGACACAACCCATTTATGGACTTAAAGGTTAGGGTAAGATTTACAACCCAGCGATAAGTACTATAACACTGAATATGAATTAAAGAATGTTATTTGTAATATCTAAGTTAGAATATAGTGTGATAGCCAGTATGATGCATTCAAGTTTTATAATACCCCAGGACATTCATAATTACATGGCAGAATAATTTTTGAGGAAAACAATATACATTCATAGCTTCATTGGCAGTGTGTAAGCATGTTCTTAAAGTTATGGTATTTTAAACTATTTTGTTGAGGATCAGAAAATGGTAAATTAATTTAGGAAATAATAGGAAATTATAAAAAAAAAATAATAATGGTTATCATTTAAAAATAAAATATATGTCTATTAGGTGAATGATATAAACATGTGTAATAGATATGGATTTTTCAATCAACTTGTGTGAAGCTCTTGGTTGGCTGATTATTTAAGCCATTATAGTAACTGATTATATTGTATTTAACAATTACCATAACATTGTTTTAAAAGACACTCCACTGCCCAAATAAAAATATAACCCAAATGAAAACATGCATGCTTTTAAATATGCATTTTTTTAAAAAAAATAAAGGTTATATATATATACATAAACAGCTTGCAAAAGTTACAGGTTTCTGGACTGAAGCCTTTGTCAGCCCTCCCATTCTTCCCAATCCTAGAATTTCCCTAACTGTCCAATCACAGAGAGGTCTTTGCAAGTCAGGTGATCTGGCCAATTGCCTGCCTCTACTCCACTGTGATAAACAAACCAGGAAGTAACAGGGCCTGATGTCTGCTTGACATCCATAGGGTGTGTAACAGGTTAATTCAAAAACCTGCCAATTTCTATTGAGATCACACTCTTTACAAAAAAAGCATTTCAGCAAGCTGAAGGGCTTTAAGAATCTGGAATGTCCTTTAAAAAATCGAGATCAATTGTCTAGTGGTCTAACCTTTCTTCTATTCCTCGGAATCTGTTTTTCTTTTCTTTATTTCTGATCTAATTAAAAAAAATGAAACAACATCAGACAAAGTAGTGACTACTTTGTTTTATGTATGTTTTCTATTTCGGCAAATGTTGTGAAACAAATATTGAAGTGCAATGCATAGGTTAAAAAAATGTTGTGTCTATAGCTGAGTTGGAGGATCAGCTAACTTATCAAAATGTTTTTTTACGTAAAAACAACTACTTTAATCGATCAGAAAAACATAAACATGTAAAGGTGGAGGTGTGACTTGGTGCACAGTGACGATGGCTGCCTGATTCAGCTGCTCTCCCCGAGAGTCTCTAAACCGCAGCTACCACAGTAAATAAACTTTGTTTTTTGCATGCCCATTTGGCTTCTACCGATGGCTACAGTAAATGGGAAGTGTTCTTAGATTTAAATTAAATATCTACCTAATGCCAGACACCAATGAATTCACCAATGTCGACGCCATCGCAAGGCCTAGATAGCATGGTGGTGCCTGTGCTCTCTGCTACAGCTCTCCTGAACTCACAGGTATTTACAGATAAAATAAGGAGCACTATGCAAGACCTCAGGAAGGCACTCCACAGCGATTTTGCTAAAATCACTACTGCTTTTTTCCAAATTTACCAAATCTGTAAATGAATTGGGAGAACAGATAAATTAGAATCCAAAGTAGATTACATTGCTGGGTCCCATAATCTGCTAGCAGATAACCATTCTGCTGTGGAAGATGAAGTGGCAAATTGTCATTGGAAAATTGCCGACGTGGAAGACAGGTCATGCATAAATAATACGTATTAGGGGTATTTTAGAGGGGGTCCCCAACAGTGAGCGGGAAAATGCCTAGCTCTGAAATCAACATAGATCACATACATTACCTTCCTAAAGGCCACAATTCTCCACCAAGCACACCTAGAGACACAATAGTGCACTTCTTTCATCAGAAAGCCCTTGTTATGTCAGAAGCTAGATCCCATAACACGTTTCCTGACAAGTACATGCCCTTTCAGCTGATCTATCTGCTTTTACCATGCTTCAGAGAAAGAGTCTTCAGCCCATCACTCAAGCTCTGAGAGCAAATAGCATCATATACAAATGGGGATATCCAATAAAGTTAATTATAACCTAAAATGGTGCCACAAGTTCATCCAGATGCTGGAAAAAGGACAATGGTTGCTATAGTCCTGGGACATTCAGATACTACATTAAGGTATGTATGTTGAGGGTGTTACTAGTCAATGTCTTTGTATGTGCAGCATATCAAGCTGAAACACTGCACGTACAGACTCCTACCACCATGACCACTTCAAATCAAGGAAGTTGTCATTGTTGCTGGAGAAACCCTTTAACTTTTCTGCTATGTAATGATTTTCAAATATTTTGCTTTTGTTAATCATAGGCTACCATTGTCTTGCATGTGGATGATGGTTGTAAAGGGTAGGTCTCTGTTTTGAAATAAAGGAGAAGAAAGATAAGCAGTCATTCACCCTTTCTTAACATACTGCATGATCTCACACCTGCCATATCACCTATTTATCTCCGTGGCTTGCTTTCATTGGATCTTGGTGCATCACAGAGTCACTTAATCAATCTTTAAAGACAGGACTATTCAAGATCATATACTGAAGTAATGTTGGTTACAAACAAAATAAAAAAGAATAGATAAAAGATAAAACAGAGACTGAAGTCTGATGGTTATTTATTAACAGTATTGTTTTATTTCAACTTATTTGTGCTTTTACATAACGTCTGTTTTACCTACAAAGATCCCAATTGTCTCTGGAAGCAACAACAATTATGCATTCAGAGTTTCATGAAAAAGTTTCTGTGATGGCTCTTGTGCCCCTGGTTAGTGTAGAGGTTTGGGGGACAGCCTCCCGTGCACAGACTATGGACCTGGTCTCCTGAACCTCTAAAGAATCAAAAAATAGCTATTGTCATTGTGGTAACTTTACTTCACAGCCAGAGATGAAGGCACACTGAAGATTGCCTGGATCTATTCTGCACACCAAGTGCATGACCCGGAGAAACCCTGAGTTGTTGTCCCATGACACAAATCACAGAGCTATTTGGAAAGGATACGAGGGAGATGAGAAGGCATCTGAGAATACCGAAGACTTTAGGGCACTCCTCTCCCCTGAGCTCAAGGAACCCCTTTTGATAAGACCAGAAACCACTAGCCGCACACCTGAACTGCAAGTTAGATCAGAGAATAGCTGCAATCTGGTGAAATTGAATAGTGCAACTTGATTCTTGAGCAGTGGAAACATGTTCTGTGAAGTGACAAATTGATCTTCTCTGTTTGACAGTCTGATTGGCGAGTCTCGTTTTGGTTGATAGGCCAGGAGAACCTGCCTGACTACTTTGTGCCAACTGTAACATTTAGTGGAAAAGGGATAATGGGGGAGTTTTTTCAGGGGGTGGGCTATGCCCCTTACTTCCAGTGAAGGACAATCTTAATGCTTCAGCATACAAAGACATTTTGAACAATGCTATGCTACCAGCTTTGTGTGAACAGTTTGGAGAAGGACCTTTTTTATTCTAGCATGATTGTGCCCTGGGGACAAAGCAAGGTCCATAAATACATGGCTAGATTAGTTTGGTGTGGAAGAATGTCACTGACTTGCAAATTGCCCTGATTTCAAAACCATTGGGCACCTTTGGCATGAACTAGAACAGAAATTGTGAGCAAGCCCTTCTGTTCCAACATCAGTGCCCAACATCACAACTGCTCTACTGAATGAATGGGTAAAAATGCACACAGGAACACTCAAAAATCTTGATAAAAGACTTCCCAGAAGAATGGAAGCCATTATAGCTGCAAATGAGGGACAAACGATATATTGATATATATGTATTTATATATGTGTTTTTTATGCGATGTCTTAAAAGTCACAGTTGTTGAGGTATCCCAATACTTTTGTCCATATAGTGTATGATGTGTGGGGTGCAATACAGGAAAATGGATTTCTGGCGGTTTCTTGTACATCATATCTCCAATTTTGGAGGACGCAGCAGGGAGTCTATCTTGTTAGCTGGGACTAACATAATTGAGACCTCAGACAAATTGGTGCCGGGGAGGGGATTACTGTGACCTGTATTGCGCTGTATGGAGGAACCCCTTGTGGGGGAATTTAAATCCGAACTGTGCTTAGAGTGCTGTGGGTGCCATAAATGTGGTACATTTTATCCCCTACATGAAGTCTTGACTAATGTGTGGGGAACAGGGCTATAAACATTGTTGCTGTATAGCAGAGGAGGCTCAGGTACTCAGTCTGAGTACAGGAGCTCCATTACTGTTTCCATGGTCAAGCAGCTATACACAAGCCTTACATCAACATGTGCAATCTTAAGCTTTGGCTCTTTTGGCTGAATGGGAAAAATGTCCCATAGACGCAATCCATAAAACTTCAAAGAAGAGAGGATGCCGCAAATGTATGTGGTTGTGCATGCTGCATCTCCATATTAATGCCCATGGTTTTGTAAAAGGATGTTTAACAAGCTCATATAGGTGTAATGGTCAGGTTCCACATACTGGTGGCCATATAAAGCAGACAGACCTTCATAGATTATGTGACAATCATTTGGAACTCACAAGTTTTCCAAAAGTCTGATGCTTTTTTTTATGAATGCCAATGTGTTTCTAAACAGGTGAGATGTTTACTGGGTTAGTCTTATTTTCCAAAAGCTTACTGTCTGATTGTCAATAATTAAATGTAATAAAGGATTCACTTGTAATAAGGCTTTAACTCATTCTCCACCAATTAAGACTACATAAAAAAATTTAATTGCGTAGAGCTACAGAATCTCATTTTTTCATATGTTCTTTTACCTTTTGTCAAACAAATTGTGGAATACCAACTATTAGAGAGATTATATTGCATCTCTCGTTTTACTTAAGACAAGATCAGAAAAATAATCTTATAAGACTACAAAAAGGGCCTTTGTAATACACAATAACTGGTAAACTAAAATAAATATAGAAAAACATTATGCTGATCTGACAAGTATTCCCAGTGAATTAGTTGGTATTTTTTGGAATACAGATTTTTTTAAATGCCATCAATATTATGACTATAAACAAAGTACCAACATACAGAAAATGCAGAGATTTGTCTTAAGCCAAGTATTACCATACCAAATAGTTCTGCAAGATACTGTTGTGCTCTTTAGTTTATGCCCGATTGTTGCTCAGAGTCCTTCCTAGCTGCTCCTTAACTTGGTAGCTAGATGGAAACACAGAAAAGTCTGAGGCTCATGCACAGTCTAGGACGTTATCTCTTCATTTATAGCCCCCTAGGAAGTATGTTCTTATGGAGGCAGTTAATTGGCATGTAATTCCGATATAGTTTATGAACAATAATTAATGTAGCTTACTTGGAAAAGTTAAGTGATTTGTGACGCCAAGTAATTGGAAGAAACAACCAGATCATTAAAAAAAAAGTATTAAAGGATAACATTCTCATGTGCCCTGATGTAAACAAATCTTTAAAGGTTAATGTTTGACCATATTCTATGGCTGAAGCCATATTTATTAAGGCACAATCAGAGTAATCCCAGTGTAAATCCTTTATTTGTTTCCTTTGTAATTGCTTCTTTCTTGGGATTTTTTTCTTCAGAATAATGTGATTTTTGCTAGTTGTGTAGTTTCACTACTTCATTGTCTTATCATTAAGCCTTCTTAAACACTTCCTGCAAAGAGAGATCTTATGTTTAAACTTCCTTTATTGCACATCTTGATTAATTTAGAATGTCTTATCTTCTGCTTTTTTAATAGTCTTCTAGACCCTACATGAGCCTCGTGTGTGTGATTAAAGTTCACAGAACAGTGGATAAACACTTTTAAAGCATGTAATATCTGATTGAAAATAAAACCTTTATTTCATATGGGCTGTGTGAGTCTAGGGCTGCATAAACAGAAATAAAAGTGATTTAACGCCTTAATGGCAGAGAATTGAACAGTGAAATTGCAGGGGTATGATGTATACACTAAAACTGCTTCATTAAGCTAAAGTTTTAGTGCATTCAGTATCCCTTTTATTTCTTGCCGCTAAGCTGAGATAGAGTCTACCAAGAGGATAAGTAATTCCCTGTCAAAGAGGAAGCTCGACCAATCAGGTATTACCCCATACCACAGCAGGGGTTTGCCAAATATAGAGGTCATGATGTGTCATTTCCTCTTACTAGATCTGATGATGAGATCTCCTGAATATTTTTTTAGTAAACACACCATGGTTGCTATTAGTAAATAAACAGCCTCATTCATAGGTTTGTGAATAGGCTTGTTTAGAAAGTTCCTCTTTGCTGTTGATCCAAACCTGGATAGGGTAAGGATGTGTTTGCACAACTTGGGCATATATTGCATGCCAGGGAGGAAATAAAATTCCTACCATAAAATAGGTGACTGTCTTTTTTGGCAAATCACTGCATCTATAACCAACTTTATTTGCCACAAGCCCTCCATTGAGCACAGTTGTTAGGGTACTTACGCGATCCTTTAAACTCATTGACATAGCTATCTTTAACTATACTCAGAATGATGAGAACCACGGTCCATAAGATTTGTCCAAGTCCCCTTTGCAGTTGTCTGACCTAATATTGACATAAATTTAACTCTTTTGGACCACATTCTTGTCCACCATTTGGAATAATGCATTCTTATAATAAGAAAATGAGCCATGAGTGAAATATTGGAAACATAATACAATGCTGTTTTTTCTTTTCTTTCTAGATGTAAAAAAATAAAGGGAAGATCTGGAATTTGTTCTGGAGAGAGTACTCTATAAGCATATATTTTACCTACCAATCTCTACTCTATGAGCATATAATTTGCCTACCAAATGAGAAGCACAGTGCTTACCAACCATCTCAATTCCCACAATGGACATCTATTGTGGGTGCAAAAAAACAAAAGTAAAAGATATTTGTACTTCTCTTTCTGTGAAAATGTTACTGTACATGGATGATATGTCAAATATAGTTGTGGTTTGCATAATGGTTAATGCTACCATGGGATGATGAATACAAATACCTAAAATGCAGAGGTACAAGGATCTGTACCAACTGCCAAGAATGAAGATTTAAACCATTCAACATTTAATTCCCAAACAGTTTGCAAAAAGAAAAAAATGCCCCGAGAATTCAAGTAATGTTTGATTGTGTTGTTCATCTCAGCATATGGAAAAAAAAAATGTTTATGATCAAAAAACATTTAAATTATCATATACCAAATAATGAAGTTACATATATGAAAACCGTGTTTTCTCAACATTTCTCAAAATTTCCTCACATTGTCTATAATCCTCTCATACATACTGTACAATATATAAATATATATGTACATATATATGTGTGTGTGTGTGGGTGTGTGTATATATAAATTTCAACACATTGTCTATAATCCTCTTATATATACTGAGTAACAATGTGTTGAAATTTTGAGAAATGTATATATAAATAGAGATTATTGTAGCACTCATGGCCTTTTAGTAATTAAAAAAAGACTCTTTATTATACCATACGGATAATCACTATACTTTGTGGTAAAATAAGCCTGGTCAACATTTCAGTCCCCATCCGAGACTTTCCTCAGGACCCCCCTCCACTCATTTATTGGAATTTATCAGACTTCATTTTTCCCATTCTTATAATTTCATATAATAGAGTCCCACCTCCTACTCAGCTGTCAATCAGAGAGGAGAGACCCTAGAGTACCTTTCTATATCACAATAGTATACTCTTAACTGCCTGTCTTGCATTTCACTTAGCAGTAAATCTATATTGTCCATGCACAAATATTAAAGACTATTAAGTGTATAGGCCATTTTGAGACACTGGTTTTATTCTAAACTAAATACATTTTTATTCAACTGATTTTAATCTGAAAGTTAATCAAGCAGGATCATTGTGACCGGATTCATAAAAAGTGCCTACTTAGGCTTTTGAGTAGTCATCTTCATTCAATCTCTTTTGTCTTTTATCTCCACACATTTCAAATGCCAGACCACATATAATACTCAGAAGGTAGTTATATTTTACCAAGACTTGTGATGTACCTAATCCAAGCTATCACTTTTTGCATGAATAAAGCACATTTTTAATTGCTTTGTCTGAATATAAGATAAGTATGGTATTTTAGGAATGACTAACCTTTACTGAGCAGGAAAGGAATTCTGTTTATGCCTGAGGCAGGTCCAATTTGTAGATGGAACTAGATGGATGGCTCCAAGTTGGCATGTACCTTTCATGTATTAATATACTATCTACCATTTACTGGAGACAAGAACTTCAGGAAGGGAGTGGGAGTACTAAGACAAGGAAATGTGTAATGTGACTTTTTGTAACTCCTTAAAAAAAAGCATGATTAAAAAAAGACGTAGCAAAATATATTTCATATGCCTTGAATTGCCTGCAGATACATGCATGTCTGTCCGTTAATTGAACCTGTCAAAACATAATTTACTTTTGTTTAAGAGTGAAAACAATGGGTATTAAACTTTTTGTTTAAATCTCGCTCCTTTACTATAAGCAAAAGTTAAAATGATGCATCTAGTTATGCTGGTTAAATCACATATACTCGCTGGTTTTCATTCATCGCCACATGACTACAGTGGGAAACATTTGTTTATATATAATCTGTACAGGACATCTTAGAAGGATTCTGTTTAAAACAAAGTCAACTGAACAACGTTTTAACCGACCATTAGAAATGTGGGCAACATGTATACTTCTAATTAAAAGATGATGGTGTCCTGTTCAAAATAAAGCAACATGAATCTTCAAAAGCCATTTTGTCTTCATTATTGATGTATTTTGCGTCTCCTTCTTTAAGAAATCAAGGTTAAATTGTATTGTCTTTTAAAATTCCTCTGACAGAGTATATCATCTATCTTTTTATGTTATGCTATAGCTGTAAGTGTTACCTGTTCTGACCAAAATGGAATGAATACTAGAACAGGCCACTTGAGGTTCATAGTAAATGTGTCTCTTTCAGGAGAGGCCAAGATTTGACATATAGGTTTTCCTGTGCTATGTTGGCTTCAGTTTTTCCTGAGCTCTATTTGGTTTAGTAAAAAATAAATGCAGTTTCAAATATTCCTGTGGAAATGCACCCCCTTTTTTTTGCAAACTATGAGTCAAATATGTGCTTGATATATCTTAAATAAATATTTCTGTGGCATTGGTACTGATTTAAAGAAAGACTATAGCATTAGGAATACCAACCTGTATTCCTGATGCTATTGTGCCCTAGTCCCTTTTTAATTTAAGACCCCCTGCCTTTTATAAAGTAAAACATCTTTTTACTTACCTTTTTTTCCACCACAGAGACTTCCTCAATGCTGCTTCCCATTCTGCCACTGGTGAATTTATCATGGAGATGTTGCTTCCATAATGAGTGCCCAGTCCAATACTAATCATAGAGTAGCAGTGGGTATAGGATATGTGTATACGAGCTGCATTTGGTAACATGACCAAGTTTCACTCAGTTGTTGCAAAGGAAGAACCTCCAGCGGCTGTCTGGAAGATAGATTCTACAAAACTGCAATGTTTTAAATTGCAGAGTAAAAACTATAGGATCACTGTGCTCAGATCACTACATTGAGATGAAGTGGTCTGGATGCAATTCATGTTCCTTTAAGTTCTTTTGAGCATCATATCAGTATTAATCTTGGCCAAACAATATGCATTTGGAGAGAGTTAAACCACATTAGATGCTTGTGATACCTGATAAGTAACAAGGTCACAGTCCTGCATGCAACACAGAGCATCCACAAGTACATCATAAAGATGGCTCACAAAGATGACCTGCTAATGGAATGTCTGAGGCAACAATAGGCAGAAAATGCAGAAAAGTAGAAGGTCCAATGGTTATAAAAAGCGTGACTATAGGACAGCACTGATGCACTAATACTAGCAGCACAGGAATAGGCCAGTGGTATACATACCGGGGTCGCAGGGGTTGCAGGGGTCGCGGCTGCGACTGGGCCCGGCCCAACAGGGGGCCCGGCCGCCCTGCGACCCGGTATGCACCCACTGTGGCCAGCCTCTTCTCCTGGGGGGCCCAGAAGCCGGCCACCTCAGGGTCCCCCGAGGATGGCCCTGGTGTCACCCGGCGGGCAGGCTGGCGGGCGCGTGTGGGAGCATTCGCCCCTGTGTGTTAGTGATAGAGTGTGTGTGTGTTAGTGTTAGAGTGTGTGTGTGTGTTAGTGTGTGTTAGAGTGTGTGTGTGTGTGTGTGTTAGTATTAGAGTGTGAGTGTGTGTGTTAGTGTGTGTGTGTTAGTATTAGAGTGTTAGAGTGTGTGTTAGTGTTAGAGTGTGTCTGTGTGAGAGTGTGTGTGTGTGTTAGAGTGCATGTGTGTTCGTGTGTTACTGTGTGTGTCTGTTAGTGAGTCTGTTTGGTGTCTGTTAGTGAGTGTGTGTTTTGTAAGTGAGTGTGTATTTGTCTGTCAGTGAGTGTGTATCTATGTCTGTCACTGAGTGTGTGTCTGTCAGTAAATGTGTGTCTGTTAGCTAGTGTGTATGCGTTTGTTCGTGAGAGTGTGTGTGTCTGTTAGCAAGTGTGTATGCGTCTGTTCGTTAGAGTGTGTGTGTCTTCAGCACTTACTTTTCTCCAGCGCCAGACTCCCTTGGAGCTAGGGATCTCTCCGCCCCGATTTGCCTCTCAGCTCAGAATGCGCATGCGCGGCAAGAGCCGCGGGTGCATTCAAACCGCCCATAGGAATGCATTACTCAATGCTTTCCTATGGACGTTCAGCGTCTTCTCACTTATGATTTTCACAGTGAGAATCGCGGACGCTCCTCTAGCGGCTGTCAATGAGACAGCCACTAGAGGCTGGATTAACCCTCAGTGAAACATAGCAGTTTCTCTGAAACTTCTATGTTTTCAGCTGCAGGATTAAAACTAGAGGGACCTGGCACCCAGACCACTTCATTGAGCTGATGTGATCTGGGTGTCTGTAGTGGTCCTTTAAGTGTATGTGTATCTGCATGCACTGGCGTAGATACTGCGGTCGCAGGGGTCGCAGCCCTGCGACCCCCTGCGACCCCCTGCGACCAGGTGCCCGCCGCCATGTGTTGCGGCCCCGAGCCGTGTAGAGTAAGCGGGGGGCTATGGATCAGTTTTCGCACCAGGGCTCCATGGGTTGTGTGTACACCACTGGAATAGGCCCCCAGCAGAGATCAATGGAAGCGGGAGGGGGGTTCTACCACACCAGACTAGTTGCAGGGTGCAGACAAAGTTGTCTCTGAAAGAATCCAGCATGTAGTAGCCGATTGCAGATGAGAAATCTGAGATTGCCATCCAGAAGAGTGCAGTTCTATGAACAGCTAAAATACTGTGCAGAACTCTCAGAATCCCAGGCCTCGGATAGAGGACCCATGAAGAATACACAAAAATACCTGGAGGGTGAGAATGTTTTTTTATAAAAGACATTCTATTTTTTTATATTTTCTTATTTATAATTGTATTGTTATTATATTATGTGTTCCTCATATATAGAATATTGCCCTCCCATCTTGTTTGTGTGTTTTATTAATGAAAAAAAGTAATCAAACATACCTGTGATTCATCTTCAAAGAAGACTTCTCACTACAGCGTGATCCTCCTCTGATGAAGTCAAAACTGGTGACATTTTGGTGCTTAGACTGTTCCTTATGCTTCCTGATTTTCAATTTACTCTATAACACTATCTGAAAATGTAAAGATTAAAGCAACATTCACAGAGTACACTTTAATATTTAAAACTGTGTTTAGAATCAGTCTGTTTTTAGAGTACATCATGCAAAGGAATCAGAAAAATCTCTGATCCCTTCCAGCAAGGCAAAACATTGAGTAATACCAAATACAATGTAAATAACTTAAAACATGAAGTAAAAGTTGAGATTTTTTGCTAAAGTGCCCATTTCTTATACAACTGTGCTCAGCAAGTGTGCCATAGCTTGCCAATCATACTCACTGCCTACCACTATGCAGCCTTGCTCTTGACTGTTTTATTGGCTACTTTGCTGGAGGATCCACTGTAACCATCAAGTGTGCCATTAGCTTAGTGTGCCTATCAAATGTGCATTAGCATCCATTTCTTACAGTGCATAGCAAGAGTGTTACATTGTCTTGGTGAGACAAATTCACACAATTATAATGCAAACATCACAGACAAACACCTTAACACAAAAATGTGTAGCCTGAGAAAATAAACCCTAAATCACAAGTTAAGTCCTTGAGGACTTCAATACCAGCTCTAAACCTCATGTAAAGTCCTCACCACATCCACAGACTTAAAAAAGTAATGGAAGATGGAAATGACCTGCTTTTTACAATAGATTCAGCATACTCTAAAGCAGGGATCTGAAACTCCGGTCCTTCAAATGCTGAAGGCCAACAAGATCAAAGGGCATAAAGTTTGAACTGCCTTCTCTAAAGTTTGGTAAGCAGCTTATTAACATTTTATCTGTTTCTGCAACTAGTGATCTGATACTGACAAATGCACCTTGTTATACATCTTTCAGTTTTATTGTTTTTATGTATATGTCTTTTATGCAAACCTTGTTATTATACCTGCTAATGTACCTTTAATTTTTGGACTATATGTAAATGCTGCTCACTTTGTTCCTTTGGCCTGACAGTTCCTGACTATCGACGGCATCTTCATCAGCCTGTTCCAGTATCTTGAAAAAAATATGAACAAATCTAACAATTTTACAATGAGTTCCATTCAAGCACATTTTCTATATACATTACTACTAAGTATTGTTTTCAACATTTTAAAACAATTTTAAACAGAAAACAAAATTAAGATTGGAGAGTAAAAAATGAGGGGGAAATAACAAGGCATTAATCAGTGATTTAACAATCTCAGAAATAGACACATACTGATTTCTAGCCCATAACATAAATTTCTCAAATACATTTCTAGAAAGTGCTAAGTGATTAAAGGTTTGCTAATGTACAAATTACCATTAGATTTGTGCACTGCAGAAATCCTCAAATTTCCAATCAAATTTCATCCATTAGTTGATTTGTTTTGGACATCGAACATTTTCTGTTTGGAGCTTCCATTCGAGCAAATGCAATGCCACAATTGTCTGCAAATATTTTTATAGTTTAGAAAGTAGATAAGTCCCTAATTTGGTACACTTGTGTGTCATTGCATATTTAAAGTGGCACTGTCACCCCCCCCCTAAAAAAAAGAAGTATTTCATAGAGATAGACTGCATTGTCACTTTAATTATCCTTCGTTTGACACTTCTTGACACAAGGCAGAGCTCAAGTGACAATCCCCACCTCATTCATAAGTGACAGCAGCAGTGAATTGGATGTGTACATGGAGCGCGGGATCCCTCATAGACCCAGTGCTGTACTCTCGAGCATGTTGAAGTGCCAAGAGTTGAAGAGGAGTAGTGTGACCAAGATAGTGGCTCCCACGATGTACAGCAGCAAGAAATTGGTTGTGTCTATGGAGTGCTGGATTTCCCATAGACCTCAATGCTGTACTCTCAGGCATGCTGAAGCACCAAGAGTTGAAGAGGAGTAGTGTGACCAAGATGGTGGTGCCCATGAGGGACAGGTTCAGGTAAACAATTTTACCCTTACCTGCCCCCTGTCACCATCAGGGGCGAATTCGGCAAAATTCCCAAACGATGTCAGTGCCACTTTAAGGGTAATGAATTAGAGAGGGAACTGTTTTTGGTGTATTTTGATTTCCTTCAAGAACCAGTTTTGGCACAGATTTTTGGGTTAAACCATTCGTGAATGAATGAATCCATACAGGTGAACTAGGTCCAGAGA